CCTAATTCATTGACTTTTAGAATTTTCTTATAAGTTCTGTTCAATAGTTATCAAGAATGTCAGACCGATAGTTCTGCATTTTTAAAATGAAATTAAAAAAAAAGAAATTTTGGGGTGCTAACTTCATACGGCACCCTTTCATTGTAGAAAAAGGGTTCCGATACCTAAAAAGAATATGAAATAAAGAGTTCTGTAGGTCCTGAATACAATTTGAATATTTTGGTCGAAGTTCTGGGCAATTTCTTTAAGGGTTGTAGGAGAAAAGTCCTTTACCTCTACCCCTCCTGTTTCTGCCTCTAGTCTCTAACTAGACCTTCGTGCTTGAGAAGGTGTCTTACCAACCTATCTCGCCTATTTCATATTAACTTCCAAAGAGTCCTCTGTTCTCCTGTTCTTTCTTCATCGCTTGTAGACTCTCGAAAATATCGGAAACCGCCGGTGGTAACGCAGTCGCTCTGGAAACTTGATGCTAACTTAGCCTACCTATGGGGTGAGTAGGTGAGTGGTGTAGGAAAATCGTATAGTTTAGAATAACATTACACTTAGACTTATACTTTTTAGACTACACATGTTGACAACGTCGCATACTCTCTCTTGTTCGTACTTTGTGAATAAGAGTGTTTTACGCACCTATCATTTTTAAATCTCTGCCGTATTACTTTAAAAGGTTCTGTCATATATATCGAAATTATTCATAATGTAGGTACTTATGTTAATTTGTTTATTTAATGTCTCTTAGATTATTCTCCTATTGAATCTTGAAATTTTGCAATAGGATTTTTAAATGTAAATGTCTCATTATTGGCAAAGTTTCATCAAAATCTCTCTTATTTTTCTATTGTATCAAACGCCTTAATAATATACCTGCGTATAATTATTGAAGTTTTTACCTTTATAGTTCTGTTGTCTATTAAAATTAATAGAATTGGAAATAACAAAACTGAATAGAAAGAATAATTAGTGTCAGTTACGTTTCCCATCTTGTTTATTAATATATGCAGTAGACTATTATTAAATGTGTTGTTTTAGAAATACTAATAGGGCTTGTCGAATGATTATGTAACGTTTCCCCAAATGTCATAATCTCACGCATATATCACACACATGTAATCGTATAAACACATAGCCTGTAATCACTACAACGAATAAATTAAGAGAAATTTTAAAAGATTCATTAAAGGCTAGGCGGGAACTATCTGACCTGACCCACTTCTTAAATAAATACTTATCCACATACATATCCACATATACACAGTTTTAAAATTTATAGTGAAATTCGCTTATGATGAACCGCACTTACCAGAAAAAGACTTCACTATAACCGAACATTTGTCTTATCAGAGGTTATTTAATCAATTATGTAAGCAGTAAGCGCCATCTGTAGCCCGATACAGACCACTTCGAATTATTTTATTTTAAAATTGACAACGGAGGTTCAATTAAAATAATCTTGAGCTTAACTATAGTATATTTTTGAGGAACTAGGTCGAAACTGGTAAACGGCTACCGAATCCAATCGTGTGCGCCTCCAGCACCATCTTCATTTATTAATTAAACATTTCTTTGTTTGTTCTAAAATGTAAAGTTTGCTTTTCTTTCGATTTACCCAACCTTCAACGAATTCTGATTATATAATCGTGTTATTATATACTTATTTTCAAAGCACGACTACTTTGTCCAATGTACGTACAGTATATGTCGTTTAAAATGTTATTTCGAAATACCTGACAGCAGACGCGGCGGAATAGATTCAACACATGTATTGAATTTTGATAATGGGATAAGGGGGTAAATGTGTGGGGTGCATCAAAAAAACTATTCAATGTATATGTATGAAAATGGGCAATTTATTGTCTAAAAAATGCATCTACAAAAAAATTTTTGCGTGAGTAGTTAATCGTTTCGTATCTCCAGAAATAAATCCATACATCAATTTTTCAATATCAGTTCATGTTAAATATGTAACATTCCAATATGATTCAATCTTGTTTAGCCCATTTTTGAGCGAATATAAGTTTTGATTTTAAGACGTTTTAGTGCTGAAGAACTTCGTTTATTCATTCACGTAGAATCAGGAACTATACAACAATTGCATCAAAAATACGTTAGTATTTTCTTCCATTATTATAAATATTAAGTCCTAGATTTTTTGCAACTCACTCTGTTACCCTATATATCGATTAAATGACGTCGGTCGTTTCCCGGAACTGAACCAAGTAATTATTTTAAGTAACTAATTCGTATTAGGTAAAAAAAAAGGAAAAGCCGTACATGTCGCGGAAACATTATCGAACAGTACCATGCATGTGTGTCTCATTGGAAAACGGTAACTTGATCTGAATCGTGTATTTTTCCACCCCAAGGGCACTGCTTATCACTTGCCATTTTTGCTACTATTGTTGACGATTTAATCAGTTATAAAACCTATACGATGTACATATACATCTACTCCTTTAATTAGTGGTATCAATTTAATCAACTCGTTTTCTCTAGTTTTTGTATAATTTCGAATACCATATGTTATGTTTTAATTTCGTAATTTGTACTACAGGAAAAGAAATTTGCGGAAACACGTTCATTACGTGTTCCTGTTTTTTCTTAAGATACCGAGTGTCCAATTAGTGCGATATCACGACGATATCTCCATACAGGATGATATTAGAAAAAACAATTGAATACAAAGTTGCTCAATACTTTAAGGTGCTCTAAATATGCTTGATTTTATTGACACCTACACAAACAGCGATATTTTGAAAAAATATTTAATTTCTCAAAAACGGGGGAATTTTGGCATAGGTAACGCTTACCAAAAAGTATGCAGAATTCTTACAGAAATTCAAAAATGTAATAATATATTTTATATTTAGTATAACAAATTTTGGTAGAGGTCTTCGGGGGTGGAGGTGAGGGGGATCGAAAGAGGGTGATCACCTGAATAAAACCCCATAATGGTCTCACCCCCATAAAAAGTTATGGGGGTTGAAAGTTGATTATTTTGACAATTTTTATACACTATAATTTAAATGAAATTCAATAAAATAATTATTTTCAAGCGGGTGGAGGTGGGGGATCGAAAGCGGGTGGTCACTTGAACAAAA